TAGGGTTAGGGTTAGGGTTAGGGTTAGGGTTAGGGTTAGGGTTAGGGTTATGTTACAGTGCGCTTCTGTCAGCGCGCTGTTGTCGGCCCGCTTCAGCGTTCATTCGTCTCCACGGTTTTGACAGCACAGTTTTGTCACCGCGGTTTAGTCACACGCGCTTTTGTCGTACACGCATTTGTGGTGGAACCCTGGACTTTATATTCAAAATAGAAGGGAAAATAAAAACTTTGATTTTAGGTTTTAACGAATAGATTAGCTTTGTTGTTATAGAAACTGTAAAGCAAAAAGTTGAAGTTGTAATTGCATTCTGTATTCTATTGCAACAAAAAAGGTGGAAATCACTGCTTTTTCATCTTTCTCTTTTATCTTGCATCCCTGTCCCATAGTGACTGTTGCCTATTCCCTTTGATCTTTGCTTGTATTTGCATTTGATACTATAAAGGTAAAGATAAGGTAAAGGTTCCCCTTGCACATATATGCTAGTCATTCCTAACTCTAGAGGGCAGTGCTCATCTCCGTTTCAAAGCCAAAGAGCCAGGGCTGTCTGAAGATGTCTCCATGATCATGTGGTTGGCATGACTAAACACTGAAAGTGCATGGAACGCTGTTACCTTCCCACCAAGGTGATCCCTATTTTTCTACTTGCATTTTTACATACTTTTGAACTGCTAGGTTGGCAGAAGCTGGGACAAGTAACTGGACCTCACTCCGTTACGCAGTGCCAGGGATTCAAACCACTGAACTGCCATCCTTTCTGATCAACAAGCTCAGCATCTTAGCCACAAAGTTTAATTTAAAAAGAGAGTATTATGAGTTTGTGGGAAATAATAACAATTATGACAATGAATGTGGCCTCAAGATTGCTATATATGGTTGCAGTGATGGTTTTGCTGATTCTACTCATAATTTAAATGTGTCAACAAGTTTGTAATTACATTTCTTTGAAATATCAAGGGTGTCCATTTCAAAGCTCTGGTTTTCATATTAAAACTGTGTTTTAATTTTCTGGATTATATAATTTCAGTACTGCAATGGAATACAAATGATATTCAGCATATAACATTATATGTCCAACTAGTGCGATTATTTGGCACCCTTGAAATCCTGACAAGAATTTTGTTCTAAATATAGTAGGTATTCTTGGGTATTTTCAGCACTAGATATATTTGGACATTATTGGCTAAGCAATTCTGGCTTTAGTTCTCATGAGAAATAAACTCTGCGGAATAATCCTGATTTAAAAAAACATACTTTTGTAAAACTGGATAGTTACTCTTAATCAGCCTATCAGTGGTCTTTGTCTACTCAGTTTTAATTTTTTTATAGATTATCGGTGGAAACCAATTTACTAAAAACAGCTGAACTGCAATATATTTATTAAACTTCTATTATATTCCTTGTTTAGTCCATGTGGCTTGGCTGTCTCTGAAAACGTGTAGTTTAGAAGGCCTTTCTTCTTAAGTATTCTTAAAATAATTCAATAAATGAAGATAGTATAGAAGAAATTTTGAAAAGACAGTTACAGTTGGTTATATTGCAATTCTAATTGTTACAGATCTTTAAAATGTTAAGTATGTTTTCTTATAAAATAATAGCATTATTTCATTAAATATTTCTCTTTGGACTTTCCTAGGCTCCTGTAATGGTGCATGAAAATTACCTTGGGAGACGGAGGGAAAACTGCAGGTAGGAAATGTTTGCACAAAAGACAGCTAAGTTCCCAAAAGAAATATGGGCATGGCAGATGATTCAGAAATCTTCTACCTTTTCTGAGTTATAAAGAAATGGGACAGAAATGTACTTTCAGACTTGAAGATTATGCTAATATAACCTTATAATAAAGTAAAATAATATAGTTCTTGTTTGGGCTAACTTGCTAGATTGACAGCTCCTAAGCAATATATTCTAAAAAATTGTTATATTATCTTTCTTAAGTTGAAAATACAGAGGAGATTGATTGACCAAAACATGACAATTTTTAGCATTTAAATTAACTTTTTACAATAGATTCCATGTGGTAAAGTGTAATATATTACTGAACACAGGGATTTTTACTCCTTTTCTACCATGGACCCCTTTGAAAGTCTGTTGAAACTTAAGGACCCACTTTCAGAAAAATACATAAATAAAATATATAGAAATATATTATATGATAAAACACCCAATTGCACTCAAATAGAGTTATCAGAATATTTTTAAAACAATATGTAATATAAGAATATAGGTGCTCATTATTAATCCATTAAATCATTAATAAGATTAGGGTATAATATTTTGATATAGTAAGATTGAAATTAAGTAATATTTTTAGGATCTTACTATCATAAATTACTTTTCTGCTTACAGAGTGTGTGTGTATGTGTGTGTGTGTGTGTGTATATATATATGATTTTTACAACCCCTGGT